ACTCTCCTCCTCCTCCTCTCCTCTCTCCTCCTCGTCTTTTGCCCCCCCGTTGTTATTGCTGCTGCTGCTGCTGCTGCTCTTCCCTCCTTCTGGTTCTCCTGGTGGTTTCCCACCTGCTCCTGCCTCCTGCCTCCCTCCTGCCTCCTCTCTCTCTCTCTCTCCCTCTCTCTCACTTTCCTCCAGGTTGTCGTGTCAGAATGCCTCAAGGTCTTGGCCTGCGTCTTCATCCTGGCGTATCATCACAGGGAGAAAGTCGGACAGGTCGGACAGCACACTGCCTCCCTTCCCCTTTAACTGCCATCCTCCTCCATACTCTTGCTACACAATCGCTCCTTGACGTCTCCATCGTCTTCCCCTCCCACTGATGCGCTGCTGCCTCTTTATCTCTCTCTGTTCATTTCCTTTATCTCTTTCTCCCGTCCCTGCTCCGCTCCTCCTCCTCCTCCCTGTTCCTCCTCCTCCTCCCTCCTCCCTCCTCCCTCCTCCCTTTTCTTCCTCCCTTTTCTTCCTCCTCCCTTCCTCGCTTCCCTGACGATCCCACCAGGTGATTTGGCAAGAGGCGATTGTTAATTGGAAAGACACCCTCAAGGTAACGCAGACAAGGGCATCCCTCCTGTCGCTGGTGCTGGTGCTGGTGCTGGTGCTGGTGCTGGTGCTGGTGCTGGTGCTGGTGCTGGTGCTGGTGCTGGTGCTGGTGCTGGTGCTGGTGCTGGTGCTCGTCAGACCTAGCTCTTGTTCCATCCTCATCCTCGAAGTCTTCCTTGACTCAAAGGTGGGTCAGGTGTCAGTCCCAGCTTTTGTCTATATGATTCAGAACAATCTCCTCTACGTCGCTACCTCCAACCTCGACGCCGCCACATGCCAGGTAACCTCGCTCCTCCTGCCTGTACGTATGCTAACCTTTCCTCCTCCTCTTCTACCTTCTCCTCATCTTTCTATTCCTCATCCTCATCCTCATCCTCATCCTCATCCTCATCCTCATCCTCTTCGCCCTCTTGTTTCTGCTTCCCTTCCTCCGCTCCCAACCCCCATCAGGTCACATATCAGTTCAAGATCTTGACCACTGCGCTCTTCACTGTCACAATGCTTAACAGAACCATCTTACCGCTCAAGGTTAAAGTCCTCCTTCCCACTCCCTCCCTCCCTCTCTCTCTCCCTCCCTCCCTCCCTCCCTCTCTCCCTCCTCCCTCCCTCCCTCCCTTCCTCCCCTCCCTTCCTCCCTCACTCCTGCACTCTCTATCCTTCTCTCCTTCCCTCCCTGCTTGCCTTCTCACCCTCCTCTCCCCCAACCCTCCCCTTTCTTCCCGCCTTCATTCCTGCCTGCTTGCCTGTCTGCCTCGCCCCCTCCCTGCCTCCTCTTATTTTCTGTCGTTCCAGTGGCTTTCTCTCGTCATCCTCGTCATTGGGATCGCTCTTGTTCAACTTCCGAACATCGGAGCAGGAAGCGCCTTCAACATCGCTGCTTCTGGTGCTGCTCCTGCTCATTCTCCTGCTCCTGCTCCTGCTCCTGCTCCTGCTCCCCCGATCCCCCGTCCCCACCGCACCCCTTCTCTCTTACTGGCTGCTGTGCCGTCCTCTCTTCCCTGCGCCCTCGCGCTCTCCTCTCTTGTGCTCTCATTCCTGACATCCACCAGGTAATCCTGCTCTTGGTCTGTCCGCTGTTGTGGCTGCATGCTTCATGAGTGGCTTCGCTGGTGAGAGGAGGAGGAGGAGGAGGAAGAGGAGGAGGAGGAGGAGGTGGTGGTGGAGGAGGAGGTGGTGGTGTCAGTGTTGGTAGAACAGCTGACAAAACACGAAGGAGTTTACTTCGAGAAGATGCTCAAAGGAACTCCGACATCGGTCTGGATGCGAAATATACAAGTACCTCCTCCTTCTCCTCTTCCTTCTCTTCCTTCTCTTCCGTCTCCTCCTTCTCCTTCTCCTTCTCCTCCTTCTGCTTCTCCTCCTTCTCCTCCTCTCCCTGACATCTCCATCCTTGTCCCCCTTGCTCATCCTCTCCTTCTCACTTCTTCTTTCTCTTCTAGATGGGAACCATTGGCGGCATCCTGGCCCTCGCCGCTGTCTTCATCAAGGACGGTCAGGCTGTTCTCTCAGCTGGTTTCTTTCAAGGATGGAATCTCTTCGTCTGGGGTGTCGTCACACAGGTATGCTGCTGCTGCTACTGCTCCTCCTCCTCCTCCTCACCCCCCCCCCCCCCCCTGGGGGGGGTGTTTTTCCTCGTCCTCCTCTCCGGGTCCTTCCCTCGCTGGTCCTCAACCTCTTCCCGCCTCTCTCATTTCGTAATAGAACAGAAGATGTCCAACTGGGAGGGCTCATCCTCCCGCTTGTCGTCAGATACCCAAACAACATCTTGAAGGGGTTTGCCACCTCACTGGTGAGATTCAAAACCCCCTCCTCTCCTGGTGGTTGTTG